TTATCTACGGATAGCTTTATTTCCTTTTATTTCCCTGATTGTGATTGCGAGAGGAACTAGGAGATCCTCGTGGTAATTCGAACCCCGTTTACAACACGTTTTGATCGATAATGAAATGCGTTTTGTAACTTTTTGACCAGCCCGCAACCACGATATTTTAAAAATGTCTGCCCTAAAACCGCCCGCACACGCGGGTCACCCGCGTCTACCCGCGGGTCACGGGTCGACCCGCGCATCAGCAATAGGTGGAATTAGTTATAATAGTTTCAAAAGATTATACAATCACACAAAACTGAACAAATTATTTAGAAAACAAGAGTAAAGTATGAGACAATAAAGATGACGCCTACATTCAGTTATATGCTTTCACAGATTTATTAAAGAATATTCATGAGATTCACGCTTCACGTGAGTGTGGGTGTTACCTGTGTGGTTTCGTGTAACTTAAGCTGCTGCATGTAAGCTAAAAATATGCCTCTGGTTTGCAGAGAGGTGAGAAAGATCCATGACACGCTTCCATTTAACAAATCCATGGGCGTAAATTATGGGGGGATGGGGGGGGTTGTAGCCCCCCCAATAAATCAAAACCAGCTAATACAACCCCCCAATAATCATGTTTCCCCCGTAATGGGTGGAGACCTCAACCCCCCCAATGTTCCAGCCAAAGTTACGCCCTTGAACAAATCAAAAGTATATATGGTGATTCAGGGATCCGGCTTCTGTGTAACATACTCTGGGTTTAGTTTCATGCTTTCATTTAGAAATGCATGATACATTGGTTAACAGGGAGGTGCAGAAGGTGGGGTGGCAGGGGATGAAAGTGCATCATGCCCCCCCCCCCCCCCGTCAAACAATGTTACAAGTGCCCATTTTCGATTGCTGCGAATTTTGCCCAGTGTGAAATCCCACCATCCCAGAATCGGCAAATTTTATCAGTCAAGCACCTGCCCCTCAAAGTCTCTGCTCAGCCCTGTTGCATTGGTATAGGGCCTGTTGCGCTTTAGGCAGAAGAAGAAATGAAGAAACAAAGTTTTAGTGTTGTTTAATTTTGTGTGGTAAGATGATAAATCATATAACATGTAACCCCATCCACCCAGTTTCTGTAACTGCTTGTCCTGTTTAGCGTCTCGGGGGGTCGGGGGCCTATTCCCTGCGGGTACAAGGCAGGGAAATAAGCCTAATTACAAATAATAATATCTTATTAAAAAGAATTTTTGAAACCAAAAGACATTATTATTTGATTCCGTTAACTTTGACTGCATTAAAGCATAAGCAAAGATTGTTAAATTAATTTCATTTTTATGTCAGATATACATGGCTGAATATGCAACACAGCTGTATATGTGATTAATCGTGATTTTTAAAAATCCTTTAAAATGCTGGTTTTCTTGTAGGCACTTCACTTTTTGTTACATCATGCCAACCTAAGAGTGGCACTGTTCCCCAACCCCCACATCACGACAGCACAGTGACTCCTGTCTGAGACAAAGTGAAATCGGCTGGCAATGAGGTCGTACGTATCGATACTGAAATAGCGATTCTTTAGATCTGAGATTCGATTCAAATGTTAACATATCATCATTTCCATGGTAATTTAAATGCTTATATTAATAGTAGGACATGAACTATAACCTGGCAGGGACACCCAAAAAGGTGTGTCTGTGGGGGGGGGGCTTTCAGGGGTGCAGACACTCTGGTGATTCGGGAAATGGAACGATCGATCTGCCGGCAGCCGCTATCCCACTTGGAAAATTTTATCAGCAGGGCTGGCACAGAATATCCAGATCAGTATTAGCATTACCTGCCTTGGTATTGGATCGAATTTGGTCAAAAATTGTGATATCACTCATCCCTAATTGCAAATTGGCGCCCCCTCGGATATATATCGTGGAGCTGTTCTGTGCTGGCACTGTAGAGGATGTGAGTACTTTTAGGGTCTAGGGGCCACCGGTTTAGCCAGGCAGTTTTACATTGTCTTGGATCAGGATGAACAATATATACAACAGAACCAAGGTTAGTATTGCCCATATGTATATAATTTAGTGGTATTGCCCATCTCTACTATGTACGTTGAATATTTTTGCGTCAGTCGGTTTTGCGCATGTTGAAAAATGCATAGCGTCCTACTAAAAGATGGAGATGATTGCATTGGACAATCAGCTATTTTCCATAGTGGAGGATGAGAGATTTCATTGTCTCATTCACCACTTAGTAGGGATGGTGATGCCATCTTCTTCGATCCAATTAGATCGAAACACCAAGGCTGGTATCGATATTGATCGTGATACCAGTATTCGGTGCTGAGGACAGAATTTGCCAAACAGGGATGTGCCGGCAGGTCAGTCATTCCATTGCACTAGTCACTAATGTCTGTGCACCTGGCAGTCTTTCCCCATTTCTCTCCTCAAAGGTGGCTCTTCCTGGCATGGGCGTAATTTCCAGGGGGGTTAGGGTGGTCATGACCCCCCCAATAATCAGATCCAGCCAATATAACACCCCAATAATCATTGTTTCCCCCGTAGTGGGTGGAGACCTCGACCCCCCCCCCCCCCCCCCCCCCCCCCCCCCCCCCCCCCCCCCCCCCCCCAGTGCAGTGACACCCCTCGGCCCACGCCCAAGTTGCAGGGGGACACGGAGCTGATCGCCTGGGCCTGCCTGGGTGTGTGCTCATCCTGAAATGCGCACTCAATATTCAATCGGCTGCTGTGAATTAAAACATCTTCACACATTTCAGCAACACATCACACTTACATATACAACATATAAATAGCACTGTATTCAGGTGAGAGTTTTTGTAGTAAAAAGAATAGTTCAGATTTAAAAATAATCTTTCAATTATTTTTTTTTCAGTTCCGCACTGAAAGGTATTTTCTTTATGCAAACTCAAATTTATATGTGTTTGTCTACTGCAGGCTTACAAACGCACGCATAGTGGTACCTACCCACAAGCTCACTGGGAGAGCTGAGGGAATCCTGGGAAACTGACTGGGTGGAACGACAGAACCTGTTTCTTTAATGCAGAGAAATGTGAACGTCCAAATTCACTGCTTAGTGCAAACGCCTTCAGCCTGTTCATTTGCTCCTTTTTTTCCTATACATGGTATTGGCAGCATGATGACTAAATCGACCTTTTGGATCTGATCTAAGCCCAGAAACTGACCTGCTGAACACCTGGGAATGGCCAAGCTTCAGTCCAGCTGGAGGGCTCTGATCTGGAGCACAGCCGATTCTGTACCCAGTTTAGGTCCCCCTAAAACATGAATTTCCAAATACATTCGATTTGTCCCATAACCTACTTGGCACTGAACCCCCCTAAGCGTAAAATCCTAGAATCGCCCCTGATTTGGAGCCTGTGCCAAGCACCAACATGAGAACGACAATGCAGATGGGAGAGTGTCACAGGCGAAAATACGGCAAAGTCTACTGCCCACCGGGTCCTGCAACCTTCAGGTCCAAATCTCTGCTGCAGGTTCCCCACACTATACTGCACACTCTCATGCTAACAGGAAGTTAGCAGTGGTCCGTTAGTGTATCATTGAATAAAAATACGTACAGGGCTCACATAAAGTCATGAGATGCAGAATTCTGTAAAAATATTGCAAATTTGTTTCATAATAAAAGTCCATTGACAAGAAATGTTTTACATATCTGGACATATCTTCTACACCAGTTTTATCAAACCCAGTCCTCGGGAAACCCCGGACAGTCCATGTTTTTGCTTCTTCTCAGCTCCCAGTGCACCTGTACCAGGTATTCGGTGTTCCTGATTGGCTGGGAGCTAGGAGGGAGCAGAAACATGGACTGTCTGGGGTTCCCCGAGGACTGGGTTGGGAAACACTGTTCTACACAGACCTTTTCTTTTTATTGTCATAATTTTTTGACTGACTCATTCAGTTCTTGCCATTTTGCTATTAATTGCAGTTGTAGTCACTGGCTCCCAGAAGGATACTAAACACAAATGTTTGGTGTTTTATGTTCTTGCAAAACTGTTACGAATTAAAAAGCACCCACTGCTTGTCAAAAAACTTTTAAATTCAGAAAAGCTTTTAGAACCATAATTTGGGTTTCAATTTATTACTACTTGAAATTAAGTTTTCACTTAAAACTACTGGTTGTTAGTAATGTGATATATATTTTGTTGTAAACATGTACAGTAATAATCATTATATTTGCAATATTTTAACGAATTAAGCAAGCATCCCAACCTGTGAGCACTGTAATTCTTGATGGACTGGCATCCTGTATAGAGTGTGCTCTGCCTCATGCACTGTGTTACTTACGATGGGTTTCAATGGTTCACTGGTGCTCTGTATTGGATGGGTGTCACAGAAGACGGACAGATGGATGGATGGATGGATGGACAGATGGATATAACTACTAAGCAAAATTTTCAAGATTGAAGAAGTGACTGTAAAGTTTTTTGCTTGCATAATAAAAAAAACCTGAAATTATGGTTCTGATTTGTGACTTTCACATAACTATTCCAGAAAATGCTACACATACCAGTAAATATATTATTTAAAACATATACAATAACTTTGATAATAACAAGATCAATTTTAAATCTGATATTTACAATATGAAACACTGCACGCAGAACAAAACACGACTTTCTAAATGGCAAGAGATTTATTCCTCAAACACAATTTTCTTTCCAGAAAAAAAACAAGCAGAAGAGGGGAAAAAATGTTCCTGCGGTTTCAGTTAAGAAAAAAGAAATGTTTTCGTTATTGTCAGTGGTTTGGCAAAATTGCCTTTGAGCCCGGCTCATTTTGCGGTTGATTCAAGAAATCGAAAAAGATGGAATGAGGCAGCAGAACGTAACATAACTTACATGTTACCGTTTGTTCAAAGACAAAGAACAGTATCCTGCCTCATTCTGCCTCATGTAAGCAGTATGGCAGTGATTATGTGAATTTTAATGAAAAAAAACCCAACAAAACCCCCTCTCTTTTACAGCTCACAGACCCGATAAACAAACTCACAGAGATGCTAAAGAGTGACGTAAAACCATAGCTTTATTATGTGCAACCAACAGGAGATCCCAAGATATGAGGAAATTTTAAAATGACAATGTTTTACAGATGAAAAATAGAAAACAAATATTTTTCAAACGTATCATTCTTCACTTCATTCCCAAATGTATGTCAAAACTCATTTTAATGACGCCGTTTGATGACAGAAAGATAAGTAATAACTTGACAACTATTTGATGGGACAAACAGTCTGGAAACTAAATATTCCTTATTTCATCTTAGGGGGAAAAAAAATCTTGTGTAGTGTCACTGTCAACAAAAATAATATTATAAATATATAGTTTCATTGAAAGCGCATGTTTCTGATTTACATACTAAAAAGCATGCCCCCCAGGCCCCCAGTTTAAAGGATGTGCATTCACATGGGTACAAGGGGAGTCTGCCACGACTCTGACATGCTCCGCTCTCCAAACAATGCAAAACTATTTCCTCCAGGGCTGAGCGCGTTCTCTGACCAGCAAATTTACCGTGGTGGTGAGGAAAAAAAAACAAAAAACAAAGACATCCGAAAAATGTGACAATGCTACGTTTACAACAGCAGCAGTGTTGCCCAGCACTGCGTTTAAAGCTCAGCTGCACATCTTGCCTTATGGTGCCCATTTGCCTTCTTAAACTACGTGTTAATGCCGTAACGACCTCATGCTTCCAATGCTGCTGCTGATCTTACTGTTAGCAACAGTTTTGTATAGTTTAGTAAAACTTTTTTTCGCTGCTTTTTAAAATTTTCTTATTTGTGGTCATCTCGCCTTCTGCTCTGATTATTAAAAAGTTACAGTGGTTCTCCTGTGGAGAGCGCCCCCTACAGGGTGACGGTTGCCCTTTCACTCAGCCCGTGATACAGGTGCTGTAGTAGACAGCGCTACTTGCATCCGAGAGTGCCGAGATCAGTGGGCTGCTTTCCACATGGGGGGCATTCCGACCCCATCCAGGCGCGACCCCCTCCAGTGGAGTCCGATCCGAGCTGCTGAGATACTGCTCGAATTCATCACACTCCGCATCCGTCCAGAATTCCATGCTGGCGTCCGAACCAGGATCGAAGACCGGAGTGGTAGCGGGTTCAGGGTGGGGGCACGCTGGCCCCATGAGGCCGTGCCCGAGGCCCCCTCCATGTCCGTCTTCGGTGTAGAAGCACTCGTAGTACCTACCGGCAGGCTGTAGGTGGCTCTGAGGCTGCAGCCAGGTTTTTCCCTGGGGGGTCGCAAGGGGGTGGCTCACTGGGTGAGGCCTCTCCCAAAGGACTGTGGGGACCACTCCCTCTTCCACATGCTCTGGGAAGAAGGTGGCCGACACCTCTTCGCCTTTGTTTCGTTCCAGCCCGTCTGGCAGGGACAGCCTGGGTGTTGGCAGGCCGTAGCCTTCAGGCTCTGGCAGTAGGTGGGGCACCAGGTGGGGCTCCTGGGTCTTAACAGCCTTAATCCGCCTCCTCCTGCGGGGGCGGTATTTGTAGTTGGGGTGGTCCTGCAGGTGCTGCTGCCGTAGGCGTTCCGCCTCCTCCACAAACGGCCACCTGTCGGCTGGACCCAGCGCCTTCCACGCCTGACCTGGGGGGGG